GTCTCCCGTGGGGCTGATGTGGACATTCTTCTGCAGGGCTGCTGTGAACATTCTCCCGTAGGGCTGCCGTGGACATTCTCCCATGGGGCTGCCATGGACATTCTCGGACATTCTCCCACGGGGCTGCCGTGGACACTCTCCGGCGGGGCTGCCGTGGACATTCTCGGACATTCTCCCGCGGGGCTGCCATGAATACTGTCCCGCGGGGCTGCCGTGGACACTGTCCTGCGGGGCTGCCATGGACACTGTCCCACGGGGTTGCCGTGGACATTCTCCCATGGGGCTGCCGTGGACATTCTCCAGGACCCCTCTTCACATTCACTGTCATGGACATCTTCCATGCACTGCTAGGACACCTCATTCTTTATTCACTAAGCTCTTTCCTGGCTCAATGGGAGAAACACAGAGGCCCAGCAGCAGAGGAGTAACAGGCTCCAGTGAAGGGACCAGGAAGGAGGTAATTGGAAATCTCTTCTTCCTCCCAGGTTCTGTCTCCTCTGCTCACTCCCCACTGCTGGAGGTCCATAGAAAGTGGGGTGACACACTCTCCCCCCGTCCTTGTCACACTGTGGCCTCCCCCAGCGCGTCAGTGCCTGCAGCATCCAGGCTCTGGAAAGATGATGTGCCCTTTCTACTTTGGAAAACCAGAATTCTCAGAAGACCAACAGAAATGCATGTAGAAAATGATGACAATGACTGGGTGTCAGAGGACACAGTGACCTGAATGAGCAAGAAGATGGTGGGGGCCGGGGGTGGGTTGGAAGCCCGCTAGGACACGGTAGTGACAGGCGCATAGCTATTTGCTTATTTTGAGTGCCTTTTGCTTCAAATGAGAGGTTTCTGCTCTCCCAAGGTGAAGTATGAGGCATGAATCCTGCATTCATGATGGGGGACTTCCAGGGGAGTGGCACGGAGCCCAGGAGCCCCCCTGCATAATGAGGGGGAAGTTGGGAAAGAGAAGCAGAAAGAAAATGGAAGGGACCAAACGCAGGAGGTGTGAGGGAGGAAAGCCCAGGAAGAGAGGGGAGAGGAGAGGATGAAAAGGAAGGAGAGGCCGGGCACAGGGGCTTACACCTGTAATCCCGGTGCTTTGGGAGGCTGAGGCAGGAGGATTGCTTGATCTCAGGAGTTTGAGACCAGCATGGGCAACATGGTGAAACCCCATCAAAAAAACAGTAAGTAGCTGAGCAGGGTGGCAGGCACCTGTAGTTCCAGCTACTTGCGAGGCTGAGATGGAAGGATTGCTTGAGCCCCCGAGGTCGAGGCTGTAGTGAGTCATGATCACGCCACTGCACTCTAGGCTGAGCAGCAGAGTGAGACCCTGCCTCAAAAACAAACAAATAAATAAATAAATAAATAAAAATAAAAAATAAAGGAATGAGAGGTAGGGTCTAAGGCAGGAGGCCGGCTGGGAGGCTGCCTCAGGACATGAGCCAGGGTGTTATTTTGCGCATGGATGCAGTGGGTTAATGCATTCGTTCCCTAAGCCTGCCAGGATGAATTGCCATAAATGTGATGGCTCAAAACAGAAATCCAAAATCCAGGTGGCAGCAGGGCCATGCTCTCCCCTAGGTCCTGGGGGAGGACCCCCCCCCGCCCGCCCCCATCGCCTCTCCAGCTACTGCTGGCCCCAGCATTCCTCAACTTGGAGTAGTGTCACTCCAGCAGTGTCCCTCCAGCCCTGCCTCTGCCTTCGCAGACCTTTTCTTCCACGTGTCTCCTTGTATCTTCCACATGTCTGTGCATCTCCAGTCTCCCCCTTCTTTCTCTTAATAAGGACACTGGTCTTTGGAGTTAGGGCACACCCTAAGTCCAGGATGATCTTAGCTCGAGATCCTCTATAAAACCCAGTTTCCAAATCAGATCACATCCACAGGTACAGGGGGTCATGGACTGAATGTGCCCCCATGGAATTCCTATGCTGAACTCCTAATTCCACTGTGACAGTATTTGGAGGTGGGGCCTTTGGGAGGTGGTTAGGCTGTGAGAGTGGAGCCCTCATGAATGGGATTAGTGCCTTTATAAGAAGATGCTGGAGACCCAGCCAGCTCTTTCCACCATGTGAGGATATGGAGAGAAGGTCGTGGTCTTCAACTCGGAAGCAGGTTCTCGCTAGAACTGACCGTGCCAGCTCCTTGATGGTGGGTGTCCAGCCTTGACTGGGCGGGACGAATGCTTGCTTTGAAGCCTCCCAGTCTGTGGCGTTTCTTTTTTTCTTTCTTTTTTTTTTTTTTGAGATGGAGTCTTGCTCTGTTGCCCAGGCTGGAGTGCAGCGGTGTGACCTCAGCGGCGTGATCTCAGCTCACTGCAACCTCCTCTTCCTAGGTTCAAACGATTTTCCTGCCTCAGCCTCTTGAGTAGCTGGGATTACAGGTATGTGCCACCATGGCCAGCTAAATTTTGTATTTTTTGTAGAGACAGGGTTTCACCATGTTGGCCAGGCTGGTCTTGAACTCCTGACCTTGTGATCCGCCCGCCTCGGCCTCCCAAAGTGTTGGGATTACAGGTGTGAGCCACCACGCTGGCCTATGGCATTTCTTACCGCAGCCCTAAGTGATGAACTGATTGGGTGCCCGTATTCAACCCTTGTTTTGACTTAAACGCCATTCTCTACAGGGAAAATTTCTTAGGACTATTGGATAAAATGTAAAGTTCTTTTCTTGCTTTTTGTTTTGTTTCGCAAAAAAAAGAAAAATGAGTGGTTCAATGAGAGCATATGACTGAGGTGACATGGGGTAACTGAGAACCCGAAAGCGAATGTGCTTTTCCGTGGTCATCTGTGCTTTTCCGTGGTCGTCTGTGCTTTTCCGTGGTCGTCTGACTGACCGCGGTGTGCGTGTGAGTAGCTGTGCTATGCAGCGGGCAGACGGCAGGCAGCGGGGAAGCCAAGATGATTCTGATATTTTCAGGAGTGCCCACGCACTCCTGAATATTTGACTAAAATAAATAATTGTCCCATTTTTTTGTTGATTTAACAAACTCTGAAGCCTAAAAGACATGTCAGGTCCTGTGAGTGGAACCAAGAGGCACACAGCAGAATGGCATCCTCGGAGAGTTCATGGTCTGATAGGAGAGAAGGATTTTATAGGAAATCAAGAAAGGAGCCCACACGAGTTGGCTATGGGGATTTGGGGAAGAAGGTATTGCACCCTGTTGGAGATAGCAGAGAGGGCTTCCTGGAGGAGGTCGCATGGGAGCTGGGCATTGTAGGAGGGAGAATCTGAATGAGTATATGGTGAGAAAAGGGAGGCCATTCTAGGCGAAGGCAGACACAGAGGCGGATGGGGGCGAGCTCATCAGGGAGGAATTAGCAGTTCAGTTTGGTAGGAAGTTCTAGTCTATAGACAGGAGCTGTGGAGGTTAAGCACAGTGAGTATGTTGGGCTGGCTCCAGGGGGCCTTGAAGGCCGTGGAGAGTCAATGCTGCAGACCCATGGTTCTGAGTTTGGGAGAGAAGGTCCAGCTCACCGAGAATCTCCAGGGGCTGGATGTAGTCAGAGAGCTCTTCCAAAACATCTCATGTGCCCCTGGGCATCCCTCCTACCCTGTAACTGATGCCCTAGACAATGAGAACTGTTAAAGCTCTGAGTGGGGAATGGCACCGCCAAGCTGCGCTCCAGGAAAGATTCATCTGCAGCTCCTTGTAAGACTTACAGAGGCTGGGGTGCAGAGGCTCTCGCCTGTAATCCCAGCACTTTGAGAGGCCGAGGCATGCAGATCATCTGAGGTCAGGAGTTCGAGACCAGCCTGGCCAACATGGTGAAACCCTGTCTCTACTAAAAATACAAAAATTAGACGGGCACGATGGTACACACCTGTAATCCTTGCTCCCTGGGAGGCTGAGGCAGGAGAATCTGGTGAACCTGGGAGGCAGAGGCTGAAGTGAGCTGAGATCGTGCCACTGCACTCCAGCCTGGGTGACAGAGTGAGACTCCACTTCAATAAATAAATAAATAAATAATAAAGAGTTAACAGGGATGGGATAAGTTCCATTGAGCAGTACTACCATCACCCCAGTTACGCGGAACTAAGGCTGATCAAGGCGATGGTTGTGGGAAGAGGAAGGAAGAAGCGGGGACTGCCCTGTCTGGGGCTGGTGGGGCTGGCTGTATGAGAAGCTTTTTGGCTGGATGTTCACTCCTTGTTTAGGTGGAGATGTGCGGACTGTCTCAGCCTCATCTCACAGGAGTTCCTAGTGCACTGCTGATCCCAGGTGCGCGCATCGTGCTTGAGACCCTCATCTGTTCTCTGACATTCCTCCCTCAGTTGTCTTCTGTGTTACTGATGCTGGCAGAGGGGAGGATGAATATCCATGGCCCCCTCATTGCCTTCATTTGGGTGACGGAAAGATGTACATGTTTTAGCATCCCTTGTTGGCGTGTGAGCTGCAGCAAGGCCTGAAGACTCTTCTGCCCACTGAGAGCAGAGATGGTGGTGTGGGCATGGCGGAGACAGGAGAAGAGACGGGAAGCTGGACTTCCTGTGGACTGATGTATCAGCGCCACTTCCTAGTGCGCATTCCCTGCTCAGGCCCCAAGTTTTGGAATCATCCTTGATCCCTTCTTTCTCCTTCTCCCTCCTCGTCCAATGTGTCAAATCCTACCTTCAAAATCTGACCCACCAACATGGATGAACCTCGAGGACTTGATGTGAATGGAATAAGGCAGTCCCCAAAGGATGAAGACTCTATGATTCCACTTATCTGAAGTACCTAGGGGAGTCAGATTCACAGAGACAGGATTTAGAATGTGGGTGCCAGGGGCTCTGGGGAGGAGAAAATGGGGGGGGTTATTGCTCCAGGGGTACAAGGATGAAGTGAGTTCTGGAGGTGGATGGAGTGGTGGGTGCGGACCACGTGAAGGCACGTGATACCACTCTAGCGTACACTCAAAGTGCTTAAGAAGCTACTTTTTATGTTATATGCTTTTTTGGTAATAAATACATTGCACAATAAAGACCACCAACTTCAAGTTGTGACCTCTCATTGGACAAAGAGTGACACAGGGGAAGCATGAACGAAGTCCCCTCTACCACGAACTATGCAGTTGTATTTCCTGCATTTGGGGAAATCTCAGGGGTCAGCACACCTGCAGTGTAGTGGCTCAGCCTCACCCAGGAAAACCATCTTCATGATCACGGTATCTCCACTGCCAGGAAAGTGTGTTATATGTACTTTACCACAATTTAAACAATACACTGACGGACCTGGTGCAGTGGCTCACCCCTGTAATCCAAGCCCTTTGGGAGACTGAGGCAGGTGGATCAGTAGGTCAAGAGTTCAAGACCAGCCTGGCCAACATGTTGAAACCCCATCTCTACTAAAAATACACACACACACACACACACATTAGTCAGGTGTGGTGGTGTGCACCTGTCGTCCCAGCCACTTGGGAGGCTGAGGCAGGAGAATCACTTGAACCCGGGAGGAAGAGGCTGCAGTGAGCTGAGATTGCACCACTGCACTCCAGCCTGGGTGACAGAGAGAGACTCAAAAAAAAAAAAACCCACACAAGATTTATTTATCTGTATCATCTATATCTATATGTATCCATCCATCCATCCCTCTCATCTATATCCATCTCTATCATGTATATCCATCCATCCACCCATCCATCTCTATCATCTATATCTATCCATCTATCCATCCATCTCTATCATCTATATCTATATATCCATCCACCCATCTCTATCATCTATATCCATCCATCCATCCATCTCTATCATCTATATCCATCCATCCATCTCTATCATCTATATCCATCCATCCATCCACCCATCTATCTATATCCATCCATCCATCCATCTCTATCATCTATATCTATATATCCATCCACCCATCTCTCTCATCTATATCCATCCATCCATCTGTATCATCTCTGTCTATGTCATCTGTGTCCAGTGCTCCTCCATGACTACTGGCCTGATCCAGGCTGTCAGTGTCACCTAGATTATTGCAATGATGTCCTTCCTGGTCTTTGCTTCTGCCCTGGCCCCTGTAACTCTGTTCCCAGCATGTAGTCATGGTGATCTGAATAAAACACAAATCAGATGTGTCACTGCTCTGCTCAGAAGCCTCCATGTGGCCTCTTACCTGGCGTAAAAGCCAAACCCTTGCCATGCCCCCCTGGGCTGTCCGTGCTGGCTCTGAGCGTCCCTCTGCCGTCACTGCTTACTGCTCTCCTCTGACTATGCAGCCACCGTGGCCGGTTGACTGTGCTGTTCCTCACATAGCCACCACTCTGAGGGCGCTCCTGCCTCGGGGCCTTCGTTCCTGGATCCCCTCTGCTCTGTCCACACATCCTCCTGCCCCGGGCTCTCACCTCCTTCAGCTCCCAGCACAGATTTCATCTTAGCAATGAACCTTCCCCAAATACCCTAGGAAATAAGGATGCCCCTTGCCCCACCCCACAGTATCTATCCTACCTGCCCTGCCCTTATCAATTCCTATTTGTTCGTTTATTCATTTATTTCCACCAGAATGTAAGTTCCGGGAGGGCAGGTCTCTTCTGTCTGGTTTGCTGCTGTGTTCTAATATCCAGAGCAGTGCCTTGCTCTTCGGCACTGTGTATAGTTGTTGAATGGGTGTGATGAGACTTCTGTTTCTTCAGGCAGTGCATTCATCAGAAAGAAGCCACTCTAGGTATTTCAAGCAAGAGAGATTTTTCTGTGTTATTTTTCTTTTTAATTTTTGTGGGTACACAGTATGTATCTATATTGACGGGGTACCTGAGATGTTTGGTACAGGCAGGAGATGTGACATGAGCACGTCACAGAGAATGGGGTGTCCATCCCTCAGGCGTTTGTCCTCTGAGTTACAAACAACCCAATTACCCTCTTTAAGTTATTTAAAAATGTACAGTTAAGGCCAGGCATGGTGGCTCACGCCTGTAATCCCAGCACTTTCAGAGGCTGAGGCGGGGGGATCAGATCAGGAGATTGAGACCATCCTGGTCAACATGGTGAAGCTCCTTCTCTACTAAAAAATATAAAAAACTAGTCAGGCGTGGTGGTGGGTGCCTGAGTCCCAACTACTTGGGAGGCTGAGGCAGAAGAATCGCTTGAACCCAGGAGGCAGAGGTTGCAGTGAGCCGAGATCGTGCCACTGCACGACGACAGAGCGAGATTCCTCAAAAAAAAAAAAGTACAGTTATTATTGACTTCAGTCACCCTATTGTGCTAACAAATAGTAGGACTTCTTTATTCTAACTATTTTTTTAACCCATGACCATCCCTACCCCCTTACCCCCCTTCCCAGCCTTTGGCAACCATTCTTCTACTCTCCATGTCCATGAGTTCTATTACTGTAACTTGAGAATACATGATGTTTGTGTTTCTGAGCCTGGCTTATTTCACTAAATATAGCGATCTCCAGTTCCATCCATGTTATTGCAAATGACAGGATCTCATTCTTTTTCATGGCTGAATAGTACTCCCTTGTGCGTATCTACCTCATTTTCTTCATCCATTCGTCTGTTCATGAACCCTTAATTTTGGCTATTATAAACAGTGCTGAAACAAACAGCAGTGCAGACATCTCTTAGATATGCCGAGTTCCTCTCTTGTGAGCATTTACCCAGCCATGGCATTGCTGGATCACACGGTAGCTCAAGTTTTAGTTTTTTGAGGAACCCCCAAACTGTTCTCCATAGTGGTGGCACTAGTTCACAGTCCCATCAACAGTGCGCGGGGTTCCCTTTCTCCACTTCCTCACCAGCATTTGTTACTGCCTGTGTTTTGGATGGAAGCCGTTTTAACTTGGATGACATGATGTCTCACTGCAGTTTTGATTTGCATTTCTCTGACGATCATGACATTGAGCATCTTTTCATGTGCCTGTTTGCCATTTTTATGTCTTCTTTTGAGAAATGTCTGTTCAAATCTTTTGCCCATTTTTAGATCAGATTATTACAGTTTTTCCTATAGAGAGTTTTGAGCTCCTTATATAGTCTGGTTATTAATTCCTTGCCAGATGGGTAGTTTGTAAATATTGTCTCCCATTCTGTGGGTTGTCCCATCTCTTTGTTGATTGTTTCCTTTGCTGTGCAGAAGCTTTTTTGCGTGATGTGATCCCATTTGTCCATTTTGCTTTGTTTGCCTGTGCCTGTGGCGTATTGCTCAAGAAATTTTTGCTCAGACCGATGTTCTGGAGATCTTCCCCAATGTGTTCCTGTAGTAGTTGCATAGTTTTGTCAGAGGCATTTGAAGCAGAGCAACCCTATTTTAAAAGGAGCTGGGTAACATGAAGCTGAGACCTACTGGGCTGTACTCCCAGATAGTCAGGCATTCTAAGGCACAGGTGAGACAGGAGGTCAGCACAAGGTACAGGTCATAAAGACCTTGCTGATAAAACAGGTTGCAGTAAAGAAGCCAGCTAAATCCCACCAAAACCAAGATAGCCACGAGAGTGAGCTCTGGGCATCCTCACAGCTGCACTCCCACCAGCACCATGACAGTTTACAAATGCCATGGCGATGTCAGGAAGCTACCCTATCTAGTCTGGAAAGAGGAGGCATGAATAACCTACCCCTTGTTTAGCATGTCATCAAGGATAACCATAAAAATGGGCAACCAGCAGCCCTCGGGGCTGCTCTGTGGAGTAGCCATTCTTTTATTTCTTCACTTTCTTAATAAACTTGCTTTCACTTTACGGACTCACCCTGAATTCTTTCTTGCACGAAATCCAAGAACCCTCTCTTGGGGTCTTGATCAAGACCCCTTTCCTGTAACAGTTTGAGGTCTTAACTCTTTAATCCATTTCAACTTGATTTTTGTATATGGTGAGAGATAGGGGTCTAGTTTCATTCTTCTGTGTATGGATGTCCAGTTTTCCCAGCACCATCTATTGAAGAGACTGTCTTTTCCCCAGTGTATGTTCTTGGCACCTTTGTCAAAAATGAGTCCATTGTGGGTGTGTAGAATTGCTTCTGGGTTCTCTATTTTGTTCCATTGGTCTATGTGTTCTTTTTTATCCCAGTACCATGCTGTTTTGGTTACTATAGCTCTGTAGTATAATTTGAAGTTAGATAATATGGCTCCTCCAGTTTTGTTCTTTTTCCAAGCAAGAAGAGATTTAGGGATCTAGGAATTAGGGTTTGCAAAATCACTGGAAGGGTAGAGGTGCAAAGGTTCAGGAAAGCCATTCATTGCTCACCAGCTACAGGAAAAACAAGAAGTTTAGTAACCTGCAGAAACGATTGCCAGGGTCACATTTGCCTGCAGTACCAGGGTGGGAAGTGCTCAGATGCCAAGGCAAACTCAGGCTTGCTGTGTTTGGCACTGTTGAAGGGGCGAGCAGCAAGCTGGCTTGCATCTCTTCCATCTTCCAAATATCACCCGAGTGCCTCTCAGTGGCCCAGTCTAAGCTGGAATGCCCCTAGTTGGCATCCTGGGAAATGCAATCCCTAGGCTTTCTTCTCCCCAATACAGAGGTGGCACACCAGGGTAGAGAACCAGCTGACCACCCAACAGAGGCAGAAAATGCCCACCCTGTGTTCTCTTCTTGCTGTCCCCCTCAGTTACCCCTTTTGGTAGAAAGAGACTCTCCGAGAGAGATCAATGATGCGGACAGATTTCAAGGATTGAGGTCTGTCAGATTTCAGTGTTCACATGCGGTGAGAATGTCTACCTCAAATTACCGAAAGGTAACAATTACAGCGTCAGTGTAATGAGCTATACTATGTGTCCAGTACTCTAAGCCTTTTGTATAAATTACCGAATTTATTCTTCATGAGGCAAGTAGCAGTATTCATCTTATTTTGAGACAGAGTATCATTCCGTCACTCAGGCTGGCATGCAGTGTCATGATCTCGGCTCACTGCAACCTCCACCTCCCGGGTTCAAGCGATTCTCCTGCGCCCAGCCTTTGTCCTCATTTTATACATGAGGAAAGAAAGTGGAGGCTAAGTATCTTGCATAACTAGAAGGCTGAGGGGCCACAATTTGAACCCAGGTTTTCTGACTGTGGAGTCTGAGCTTCTAAACAATAGATTGCATTCCCCTCCCCACAAAGGAGTAGAAACACCAGTTCTGGGCATCTCAGCTATGTGAGCATACATGAAGGAAAGGTTTGAAACATCTACGTAAATTTGTCAATAACATATAAATACAGATGACCTGAATATAACGCTGGGGAGGTCAAAACACAAGCCATGAGTAGGTCTCA